GCTCATTAGGAGCTGGCTGGGAGCCCAGGGAAGCGAGCGCAGGGCAGTGGCAGCACAAAGGCAGCCGCGACTGCAAGCTCGGTCCCATCCAGCCCCTGCGTTACTTTGCCATTTGGCTTCAGATCAGATAAAATAGAATTACTTCTTAGCATAGAGAACAATGCAAAAGTCACTGCCAAAAAATTGCGCTGAGGTTAAAAAAGGTGTTAGAGTAATGATATGTTTATCTGTGGGTTCTGAGCGTGGTAGGCTGGATTCAGGGTGTCCCTAAAGTGCTGGTTGCTGGGAGCTGTGGTGTTACAGCCAGGACTTCTCTGCATGGCTGCTGGTTCTTCCTTCCCTATGCATCTGGTACTGTGCTGCTGGCAACCCCAGGGAAAGGTTGGTGGTCTTGATGGGCCTTGGCTGAGTGAGGATATCACCAGAGTGATCTAAGGAGAACACCTGGGCAGGTCTGAAGAGGTCTGTCCCCAGGATCTAGGGGAGAAGGCCAATATCGTGTCCTCTGAGAAATAAAAAATAATGTCTTCTCCTCCAGAAATCATCTCAAATGTAAAACAATTTACAGAAGTTCTGAGCAATATCTGTGCAATGAATACATGTGTCACATAACTGCCATCTCGAAAAACATGACTTTTATTACAAAGGAGCTTAAGACAAGGATTAATAGAGCTTGAGGATGTGCTCCTGGCCGTGGCACATAGCTCAGTGCTAAGGGAAACCTCAGAGAGACTGTTCTACTCCACCCATCTCCTGTCTGTCCAGCCCAACACACAACCTCTGTGACCATCCAGGTAGGTGAGAGGGAGCCGGATAAAATCTTGTCTCTTAGCAGCTGCCTGGCAGGCGAAACGTGCTGTGGGAGAGCTGTTGGTCTGTCTGAGCCTGCAGTCAGGCTGGGCAGCCTAAGCCAACGCTGACACTGTGTGCCCCCCTCACCTGAAGTCCTCATTTCGTTATCCGTGCCAGGATAAGGAAATACCTGCAATAAATAAATAAATAACGGGCACTGCCTGTCCTCCGTAGCTCTGAGCGCCCCGGTGCGCGCAGATATCAGGTGCTTCAAAGGCTGCTGCGTGCTCGCTGCCTGCCAAGTGGCTAAGCCAACGCTGCCTTTGCTGCTAATGGACCTTTTAGAGAACTGCATGCATTAAAGTCTCGGCAAATCTGGGCTGTGAACTTTCAGATGCAGTTTGAGGGACTTCTAATGAATGTAAATGTGTGCTGCAGCAGTCCTGCCTCGCTCCCAGGCTGCTGCCTTGAAGTACTGAAAGATTTTTATTTTGATTTATACTATCAGTTTCCTCGCAAAAGAGACATGAGGCAGAGAAACAAAACGGGAAAATAACGCTGGATGTGTTCTGTAGAAGACCAAATCCCCTCTGACTGAACGCACGCTGAGATAATCAGATAAGCAAAATGATTTCAACTTCCCATCCCCAATATGAGAAGCATTCAGTCAAATTTGCACTGATTATATAGCAGTGCATTACTAATAGGACTTAATATAAACCTTTTAAATCCAGGGCGTATTGCTAGAAAAACAGATCTCAGGCACTGAGTTTGTGGGCAAAATTCCCCTTGAAGTAAAGGAGCCAGAAGAGATAATTTGGTGCCACTTGGTTCTGCAGTCAGTATTTCACTCGATTACAGCATTTTGTCCAAAACCCATCCAGTTCAGTGAGCTCCTTACTGTGGATTTAGAATTATATTGTCTGAGAAATTTTGTTAAAGTAAGGACCACACTGACTGATGCAATTCAGCTCGTTTCAAAAAAAGCAGTGTTAAGGAGATGAGGTGAAAAACTGCAAAACTCATAACATCTTCACAGAGGGTTTGTATAAAGTCTTAAGTCTTGCCCATTAGCAACAGTTTGCACATCATTTGCTGTGTTTAAAGTCTGGCAAATTAAGCAAGATGTGTCTATTAGGACTCACCATGTGCCTGCAATGTCTTTGCATTTGTAAGATATGGAGTTGGACATAGGAATTCACGTGTAACTGAGACACTGATTGAGGGATAAATGAGGTAAACTTTTGTGTTGTGTGCAGCAAACCACAACAAACACGGAAAGATAATTTGGTCAAATTTTGGTGACTGATCAAATCAAGAAAATCCTGCAGATCTGGGTGCTTGCTACTACACAACGGTCTGTGATGGAGCGTGCTGCAGAAAAGCGAGCGGTCATGGCCAGTGTGCTGTGTTCTGTAATAATGACAGTCACAGCAGTGAGAATATATGAAAAGAACGACAGCAAAGCAGCCAAGAAGTCTTTGCGATGGCTCCTTCTGTTTCTTGTGGGTTTTAGGATGAGTCAGGGTGGGACAGGAGGTCTGGCCAGGGGCATGCTGTGAGGGAGCCTTGCTGCTGGGGTTCGCTGCAGTTTGCTGTGGCAGCTCAGCACCAGTGCTGTGCACTACAGCTACCACTGAGCCCAGGAAATCCGTAAGAAAAGAGGGGTCTTTTGTGTCTCTGGCACATACCTAGAATTCTTCTGTTCTCTAATTTAAAAGATCAGACTCTGTATGTAGGTCTTGTTAAAGCTTTCTTTTTTTCTTTAGAAAAAAAAAATAATAATTGCAAATTTGAAGTTAAAGTTCTCCACTAGTAATGTAGACAAACTTTTGCTGCTATAAAGCTACCATACCTGTCTGTCTTCTCCCTTTTTTATTATGGAGTAGCTATAGGGGAATTTATATGGGCAGTGATGTGCAGCCAGCCATGGGTTGCTGCTGCTGCTTCCATCCTGCATGGAGCAGAATAGGCACAAACAAGGGAAAACAGATCCAAGAAAACAGCGTTGATTGTTTTTCTGGGCTTCTCATGTCATTTTACCAGCACATTAGTCAGAAATCATAGACATAAAACCTCCTTTTAGCTATTTTTACTCTGTAGATGCTTTCTTTTCCCTTTTTCCCTGTACGTAAAGCAAAAGCCCAAATGTGACCTAGCTAGCAGCTTTTATTAGGACTACCAACCTGAGTTCTTGCATGCAAATGAACGTCTGACCTTCAGAAGACGTGCCACGCATTGTTTGTGCCCCTTTTGGGACAGAGGTGTGCGTAAGAGCGGGTATATTCTTGCTCTAATCCCTGGCTGGGGTGAGGGGCTGCTGGGTTTTCGGGGTGCTGGGGTGGGGGACAGCCTGTGCTGCCAGCTCTGAGCCCCCAGCATCCCATCCCTCTGCCACCAGCTGCCCAGCTGCCCCTCCTCTCGCTTGGTGGCAGAACAGAGCTGTGAGGATTGGAGAATCCAGCAGGTATCTACTCTAATTAGTTATTTCAGCCTGTTGTCTTCCAACAGAAAGGGAGAACTGAAGCATTAAAAGGCAGCAGAGTCCGTGACCCTCGAGCCATCCCTTTTTCTTACACCTCCATCTCCCTCTGGTCCAGCGCACGCAACCTGCTGAATTCCTGCAGCTGCATTCCCACATGAGTACACGCAGGAGTGTTTGCCTTTCTGTACATTATTCATCAAAATGGAAATGAGATAATCCTTGACATTTAGCGAGTGCCAGGATCAGGGCAGTGTGTGCCTGTCGGCTCGAAGGTTAGCTCTGAACTCCTGGCAGCCAAACTTTGTGTGAGCCGCTCGGATCGGATCTCTGGTGCTGGGCAGGTGTTTGCCTTACAGATTTTTCCTGCATGCCTGGGTGTCATCTATTTCACTGGGCACAAAGCAAACGCTTTTCATTCCCACATTATTCAAAGGCGTGATCTGGTTTGTTTGTAGAGCTATGCAAGGTTTTATATGGCTGCTTGGCGTGAATTCTCTCCATTATATCACAGAGCCAAAAGTGAAGAGAAAGTCTCACCTAAAGGTAATGAGTGCTGAGACAATATAAATCAATACCAACTTCTGCAGGTAGTTTGCTTGCAGCTATTATATTAAACTGTTGTAATGTATCCGAGAGGAGTTTAGGCTTGCGGTCAAGGCTAGACAAAGTGTTTGTCATAGGATTTAATGAAAAAGGGTTGTTTTCAAGGTCACAACTTCTTTTGAGTGAAAAAGAATAGCAAGAGTAGTGCTAGCAGAACAGCTCTGCCAGCTAGCAGCAATGGATAACAGCGCATGCAGACAAAACTCTAGAGGGAGAGCAAATCTCACTTTCTGAGCTGAGCAGTGCATCTCGTTTAGCAATGTTATTTCTTCAGGATTGGCATGTGAGGGGTTTGGTGGTGTTTTAATTTTTTGAACCTTATGATTACTAGTGAAGACCTGAATTTAGAAACAGTAGGAAAAAAAAAAACAACTTAGCTGCTGACGTGCTATAGGTATGTAGTACCACATAGCTTAATCTTACATAATAAAAGTTCCAGTTTCAGGGCAATAACTAAAGAAATAATAAAAAGCTGTTAAAAGCATCATGAAAGGTGTTTTTCTAGCCATAGTCAAAACTGTAACTCTGTTTGTTTGCATATGCTAGCTTAGTAAACATGCATAACTTGCTCTGGAGAGGCTAGCCTATGATGATTTGCTTGCAGATGATTATTTGGTGAAATAAAAATAATGGTGTGAATTTTGGCAGGCGATCTGTGTCTTTTTTTAGATCCTTGAAATGTCCTGGCTTTAAAGATGCATCATGCTTTGTGATGCATAAAATAAATACAAAAAATGAAAGGAATGTGTTTCGACACTTTTAACTATTCTTGATCTGAGAACAGTGAGACTGAGGTGTGTGGAGGATGTTATTTAGTAAAATTAAAGTGAAAAATAAGTGCAGTGAAGTGAAACAAATGGTGGCATAATTAGTTTCTCAATTATTTTTTTTTTAGAATCATGTACTGATAGCGAAGTGCATTAAGCATAGCATAGCCCAGCCTATTTACAGCTGTTCTGTGTGAAGTAGTGTAACTTGTATAACAAATTAGTTGAATTAAGTAGGAGTTACTGCAGTCCCTTGTGGGAACAGGTAAGGGAAGTGCCTTACGTGTTATTGCATCTTAACTCTCCACAAAATGTTATTATATATATTATATATTTTTTTTTTTTTTCTGCAGACTGCTTCATCTTTGGACTTTCCTCCCGAGGAGCCAGGCACAGTCTTCAGGTGGCCAGGCCTCTGGAGCAGAGCAGGTGCCCTCCTTACTATACATCAGACGTGTCAGAAAGCCACAGCATTGCATCTGCACCTCTAAAACACGTTACAGGGGCAAGGACAAAGTGGCAGTGTTGTTCCCTGTGTTGTACCAAGCACAGCCTGGTATGTCTGTGCTGTTACTGGGTGTGCCAGCATCATCCCTGGGCACACCTGGTTGTGTGGTCAGGGATTGTCACCACATTACCTGGCTTGGCCTGCTCCAGAGCAAGGGCCAAAGGGGTTTACAAATTCTTTAGTTTCTGTCCTCACAGCACTGTTGGCATTTGACCACCTTAGCTGCTGACACTATAACTTGGGACGATGGCCTTCCCCAGCTACCCTACAATTCCCCTGCTTCATTATTTTCCGTGGTTATTGTACAGTGGCACATTCCTTCCCCCTGTAAGCACTGCACGTGATATTTTGGGTCTAAAGCTTTGCAAGTAGCAAGCTCCTGATGTTGCAGCCATATTACTGACCAAAGTCCTGCTTATGGGATCTGGGCTTTCAGCTGCTCTCAGCTCCTTGTTGGAGCTGGGGTGCTGCCGCTGGCCGTGCTGTGAGGGCTCAGTGTGCAGGGGAGCAGTGGTGCTGCCCACAGAGCAGCTCCGATGCCTTCAGCTGAGGTAGGTTGGCCTCACAATTTTTAGTCTTTGCTTGACTCTGAGTTCCAGCAAACAGAGCTGCAGGCCGGCTCAGCAGTGGCTGAAGGCAGGGTCCTGACCAGGGACCAAGCGCTGCTCTTGCTGGCAGCAAGGAGTCATGATCCCGATCGATAGCTGTGAAGGGAGCACTGGTGACAGGCAGAGCAGCCGTTCAGGCCGTCAGATATCTGAGTCAAAGAATCGCTTAGGCTGGAAAAGACCCCTAAGATCATCAAGTCCAACTGAATCCATCAGTGCCTTTCCCTGGCAGTGTCACAGATCCTGTGAAATGGAAGGGACGTTAGCAAAGCTTTGCTGGCTTTGGGGAAGGCCCTTGGTGGAAGAAACCATCTCTTGTAATCTTCCCTGTTGATAAACTCAGCCTGAGATTGTCTCAGAAGAGCACTGCAAAAAATGCCATTAAATGTGGAACTTAAAAGTTGTTTTGATAACTCTAAAACATTTCTTAATATGTATTAGCCCCTGAGTTTGCAACAGAAGTTGGCTTTGAAATAACCAAATCTATATATTTAAAAACAACAAAAAAAAAGGAAAAAATGTGTTTACAATTTAATATGTTAATGGTCCAATTCTGTAAATTTTGTGTTACAGCCTTTTCATAAGAGCACTCTTCAATGATACATTGCATCTGTGGAAACAATATTGTTTTTAACTTCAGTCATATATGCAACATGTCAGAAAGGGAGCGTCTATACTCATAACATCTTCCACAGTTATTGAATTTCTCAGGTTACAGAAGCCATAACTAAAAAAACGTATTTCTCAAATATTGTTTGATTCCTAAAGTTCTTAACTGCTCAGTTATTGCGTGCTAATGTTCATGACACTGGTGTAATTGAAGCAGTAAGAGGTTTCTCTTCATTTAGTGCCAAAACAAATATGAAACATTAAACCCCTGTGGGTGCAGATTATTGCAAGCACAGGCTGATGGGTTAGAAATTGTTGAAAGATGAGATTTCTGATGACTAGTATTGCTTCAGTTGTCAAAAAATCTTGACTATGAAATGAACCCTTTTTGGTAATTGACGAGGTACTTTTTAGATAGCGTACAATGGTTCTTCCTCTCTCTCATCTAATTTTATTGATTAAAGTACACGGTGCTTCTGGGGTTTCAACTTTCTAATGTCTAAAACCCTTGAAAACCTAATTAGTGACATTCTTTGAGCGATTTCCAGATTTTGAGAATTTGGATGCATTAAAAAAAAAAAATTTTTTTACTGATATTTAAAATGTATCATCCTCTAAAAGAAACATTTTGGAAAAATCTGTACAAGCTCGTCTCTCTCAGCTTGCAGAGGTTCTGAGGAAGTTTGTTATTATGGAGATATCTAGAAAAGGAATATGTTGCAAAAGACGGATCTAGCAGAACTACTTGATTTATGCGTGTTTCTAATACATCCTTGCCATGTGCTTTCTTGTAGCTTTTTGGTTTGTCTGCAAGACTGTAAAATGTAATTCCTCCTGTAAGAAATTTATGAAAGAGCTTCCTAGGTTATTTTATTAAAATCATTGAGACTAAAATGTTGATGTGTAATCTTTGGATAGATTTGAAAATAAATTCTCAGTAAACCTTTAAAAAGTAATTGCTGATGTTGACTGCTGTGCGAACTAGAGTCTGTCTGACATTAGCAAAAAAAATAATCCAACAAAACAAAATAAAATTGAGGCAATGTTGTAGTCATAGTATTTGTATAGAGAAGTCACAAGCCCTACCTTCAAACTTAGTTAATTCCCATGTTTGATTTATTTATTTTAGTAGCACCCATTTGTGGTTTTTATGTATAGTGTAAAATATTTTTTATTTTATGTTGTAAGAAATAATTTGCCTTGTTCATTAGAAATTACTGATTATTCAGCCTTTACAACTTGATTGCTGTTGTCACACCTGACAACATAATTGAATAGTTTGTTTTGTACAAGGCAACGTTTGCTGTCTAATACTGTAGTAGAAGACACTTTTTCTTTTGTCTTCCTTATCAATAAGAGAGAGGAAAGTACTTCACATTGTGCTCAGATTTTGAACACTTCCATTGTTAGTTAAAATCCAATATGTAGGTTGCTTAATTGGATATGATTTCTTTTAAAAGCATTAACGCAAGTTCAGTGCAATTTAAATTTCATTGTGTAATTTTGTGGCATTTTGCCGTCTTTTTAGAAACTAAAAGAAGTTTACTTGGTGCTATTACATGGAAATCAATGCCTGATATTTGTCATTTGATTCTTGCTTTGTTCGTGCAGATGTAGGATGAGTTCAGAACAGTTAAGATCTCCTTTGAAATATTGTCCATGCCCAGGTTGCTGCTGATGCTGGTGGGAGGGCTGCATCCCAGATTAGCAGAAGACATGTGCTAGTGACAACAAAATGAAAACCTCTTCATCCTTCACCTCCTGTACTTGTAAGAGCTTGGGCAGGTGGGCCAGTCTTGCATGAGAGCCACAGTTGCCTCATTTGTCTCTTCTTCCCTGTTTTTTTCTTCTGCTCCTCACTTCTACCTTCCAGGTTGTTTGTGTCTCACTGCCATTTTCTTTTGGCACTTTTATCAATAGTATTTGAACTGATGAAACCATTAATCAAAGCCTAAAATAAATGTTTATTGCAACATGCCCTAATTGCTTTGAAATTTAGGGTAAAATACTTCTATTTCCCTGAAATATATTTATAAAAATGAGTTTAGAAAATTCAGGATGCTTAGTAAGAGCTGGGAACAGGTTCTTCTGTTTCAGCCTGTCAGGGTAAGGAAAGGTTTCCAAAGCATCTCGTTCTGCAGAACTTGTGGGGTTTTGATCAAGCAGGCATCTTGGCTGGGCTTCCAAGCTCTATTCTACTGCTAGGGTCAGCTTTCTGTCTGTGCTACCACATCATGCACAAGACCCAAAGTACAGTGACGCTTTCAGCAGTTTCACACCTTTAAGGACAAGAGGTGTATCAGGTAGAAGTCTGTTTTCCCGAGTGTCTGGTTTTTCAGTTAAGCAAAGATGGAGACTGCTTGGAATAACTGGAAAATAAATTGTCTTGAAATGTCTCTTTCTTCCAAGGCATGAAAGGACAGTCTGGAAGATCAGCAGGGAAAGTGCTAGAAAGTAGCTGAGATGAAGTTGGTGGGGGGGGAAAAAAAAAAGAGGAAGTAAAATTCATAGCTTCCTAATGTCCTTTATTGTTAATGAAACAATACTGTGACAGAAAACAATTGCTCCTCCTGATGGCTACTTAGCATGAAAACAGAGACCTCATTCACAGTGTCAGGATCCTTGTCGGCCAGGTTAATGTGTGGTGTTAGGAATCTTGTAGCTTTCTTCCTATTCTTGACTTCTAAAAGGCAGTGAAAAAAAATTTTTTATTTTTCCCAGACCAAAGATATTTCCCAATATCTTCTTATTAGCATGGTAAGAAAGGCGTGCAGATGGCCTTTGCCTGCATAAGCCCTGATTGCAGCTTGCCAGGAAAGCAGCTGAGCAGCACAAGGCACTCAGTTTGGAAGGCAAGAAGTGCCTGCGATAACAGGCTTCAAACTTTCACCGTGCAGTTGTGAATACTTCAGAAGTTAGGTTGGTAATATTTTATTTGCTGTTGAATGCCAAGATAAAAACATGAAGTGATTTTAAATTGACCTCTCAGAAAGAGTTTTACTTGGAAAAATATCTCCAGCATCAAGAAGTCTGGCATTTGTTTTCCAGTGCTGTGCTCCATCTTAAACATTGTGTTTCCGAGATGTTCAGTTCGGACATCAGTCACATAGAGTGCCTTGTACCTTATACAGAATACAGATTTGCTGATATTGGAGAATCCTTCAATTCTACTTTTTTTCTTTTTCACAGAATATGGGGGAAAATACAAGAAATGCACGCAAAGCCTGGTTTGTGTGCAGAAGTTAGGTTTAGCTCACTTTGGATGAGCAAGTTCTAAGACCTGCTTGTGTACAATATAGTGCAATGTCTCTATTGAGACATACATGTACATGGGTCTGGACTGTGCCTTGAAAGTTTGTCCCTGTATGTCCTTGCAAATTTGATTCATGTTGAGAGCAAGACAGAGATTTTTCAGTATGGAAGAAAATTGAGCTCTGCAATCACTTATTATTTTTGCAAACTTTTTGTTGTGAATACAGTAAAATAGGATGATGCAAAATATCTTTGGCAAAATAAGAAAGTGGGCAATTTTTCTGATGCTCAACCCATGAGGAAGAATCTGGACTGGATAATCCCATAATAAGCCATTGCTGTGCTGTGAGCATCGTGTAAAGGGCATGGAGGAGAGCTCTGCTCTTCCTGAGATGTTATTGCTGGTCTCCCTTTATGCCATAGGGTGACAAAGGATTCTCTGGAAAGTACAAGCCAAATTCCTCCAAGATTTGCATAGAAAGTCCTAGTGAGCGACTTGGGCCACCCACAGCCAATTCTGAACTGAAGAAGGCTGGGGCTTGGAGTACTCTGTCCAACATTTGAAGTGCAGGAGTGAATCGAAAGAAATCAAATAGGTTCATGGTTTTCAACACATTAATTTCCAATGTTCATATATTTCATTTGTGCCACAAAGATGCCAGTGATTTAAAATAATTGTGGAGTGGATGCCTGGAAGCAGAACGCACGTCATGTTGAGTTCCTTCAGCGGGACTGAGTCATTCTTCTTCTTTATTGTACTTCCCTGTTACATCAAATGTAAATGGACGTGAAAGGTGTAATTTCCCTGGAGTCTGAGCTGACACTTTTGTCAGGTTTGGCCCTGTATTCTGTCACTCTGTTTCCTTCTCTGTCTGATTTTGTCAAGTATCTGTCTTAGTTTTCCACTGATAGTTACATAATTGCTTGAAGATCTACTAATTAATAATTAGCATTCACTTTTCTCCTCTGCTTCTCAAACCAGTTTTATTTTTGAGGACTCTGGCAGAGCTGCTGCCTGTTAAGGGTGCTGAGCTGGGTCTGGTTCAGCAGAACTGTCACCACTCATTAAAGGATGCCCCATTAGGCCGCCTTCAGAATGAAGTCAGTTCCTTGGCTTCCCTGTGCAAAGGATCCCACCTAAGCAACCTTTCCTTCCCCAGTTCTGCGTTGCAACCATGACCAAACAACAGCCCTGCGAGGTCATTTTCCTAATGAGGGTGAGATGTGACCGGGATGGTGCTCTGATTCCCTTTGTGAGGTCGAGCAGCTGCTCAAAGTGTCATTCAAGGGACTATTTTAGCCGTCTTGTTCAGGTGTAACTCCAAATAATTTTGTGCCATGAAAATCTCTCAGAATAAAATTTAGTTTAAAAATTAGTTATGGCTATATTTTCAAAGCAAATGGAGTGAATGAATATCATTCTCAATTCAGAACAATCCTACACCTCTGTTTATACTGCTTGGGGAAGATTTTCTGCACATATTTTTTCGTTGAGTTGAGGCTGTTCTCCATTTGAGGGAGTTTCTGTTAGAAATGTTAATGAAATATTACGATAATATAAGCTGAAAGATTTTCTTTTTCCTAAATAATTTGTCAGTGAATTCCTCCTATTGTAGGGCTAAGTATGATTCCTGTTCATTAAACAAGATGACACGACATTAGAAGTTAAAATAAATGCTATGCAGGGTGCCCTGGGCTCTGAATGAACTTCCTGCATTTCACTTAAGTACCTTTAAATTTCCACAATTTCTTTGATTTACATTTTCTTATGCTGCTCAATAGAATTGGATAGAGCCTTCTGAAGTTAGTATGAAGGTCCTGTCGGCTTCAGGACATTTTGGAATAGTCCCTGAATAAAGAAGCACTGATCCTAAACAGTGGGTCTGCATTACAATTATGAAAAGATTTATTGTTGTTGTTGTTGTTATTATTTTTATTTACTGTTGCCTAAGATGTCGCTATAGTTGTCTAGGAAATTGTACTTTTTTTTTTTTTTTAACACCAGATTTACTTCAGTTATAAAATCTGCATTGTAATTTCTTAGTGAAAAGGTGGAGAGAATCTATTGTCCCTGAACTAAACAGAAAAGTCTCATGCTGACAAAGCCTCTCTGACACTAATGCTGTGCCATCCTGTTTAATTCCCCACCTTTGGATTTATTCTGCTCTGTCAGTGGAGTGGCTGATCTCTTTAGTCCCTTAGCAGCAAGCTATGTCAGGAGCATTGTGGAAATCAGGGCAACAAGTACGTCTGCTTTTGTAAAAGCCAGCTGAGTTTGGAAGGAAGATTTCTAAAAGTTTAGTTTCTTGGCATTGTTAAGCCTCTCTTGATGCTACTTGTGAGCAAAAGAGTCCCTCTCTGTCCCCAGTATGTCTTACCACACTGCTAAAATTTGCCCAATGACCTAAGGGTCTAACTCAAGGAGCTAAAATGTCAGAAAAAATATGTGCTGGCTGTGGAGTGCAACTTTTTTCTTTTTTTTTTTTTTTTTCTTTTTTTTTTCTGAGCAGGTATTGGTGGGATCAGACAGGCACTGGTGCTGGTGGCAAGAGCCGAGGCAGCAGCACACCTTCCCTGCAGCTTGCTGCCCTGTGCTGGGGCTGGGCATCGCCTCCAGGTCTGGCCACCTGAAGTGGGGGGCAGCTGAGGGTCCCAAACTGCCAGGGGCAACACCCACACTGTTCTGAGAGAGGCTTCTGGAGAG